ATTATTTGCTCAAATTTAATTATAATGAATTTATTTAATAAATTTTTTTTAACCCCACGGGGGAAGTGGGGCGGGACGGGGACGGGGCGGGGGAAGCCGAGGGCAGGGAACGGGGCGGAGTGAATTAAAATACAACGGGGCGGGGGTTGGGGGAGGTGTCCCCCGCCCCATTGCCACCTCTAGTCTTGGCCACAGCTTCTAGTCGCGATTAGATTAGATCGTGACTAAGAAGGTTGCTGTCAATGGAGGGAAAGGAAATTAAGGTGCGAGGAAAGGAAAAGAAGAAAGGAGAAAGAAGAAGAAGAGAGACGAGAAGGAAAAAAAAGAGAAGCAGGAGAGAGAGAGAGGATCGTGGGTGTGGGGGTTGTGGTGATAAGGCGGTGGCCATGGTGGTGAAGAGTGATGGATAATGGTGTATTTTTTTGTATCTTTGGAATTATTTTTTATATATTGTATGGATATGGTATTTTTTGGAGTTATTTTTGTTTGTGTATTACTGTAGTATTTTATATGAAAAACTAGGGAGGGACAACCCGCGCAACGCGCGGGAATTTGGTGCTTGTGATTCAAAATAATTAATAATTATTGTTTAATATTTTGTAGTATAGAAACTGAAGTATGATGATTTTATCATGTGATTTTAATAGAAAAATCATAAGTTACATAGTGTGTCAATAAAAATAATGTGCAATGAGACATTCTTATCATTATACTATATAAGAATCTATTGTGATCAAAAGTTATGTTTGAATTTCAACTGCAAAGATAAGGGTAGTTTGAAAATGTAAGAATGTTTGAAGTGCAATTGAAAAGTATCCAAATGTCTCTTCTAAAATTTATCTAAGATGATAAAACATTTTAAAGTATCAAGTGGACCATTCATCTCTCGAATCTATATATGTTCATGAAAGATCCCTCAAGCAATGCTTCTGATTTCTCTCTCGACTTAAGCTCAACCTGAATTATCAAGTCAAGTTTATCCATCAATCACTTAGCGTCCAATCTAATCTGAAATAATTTTATTTTTGGCTAACTATTTATATAATTTGGTGGGCATAATACGACTTAATCACATGTTTCTTACAGAGATAATAGTGCCCAAAAATGATAAATAAATAAAAAACTTAAGTGGTCTTTTTCAAAGTTTTGTTGAAACTATTCAGATTTGGTGTTTTTTGCTAGGGGCATTTTTTTATAATCTCATAAATAAGTTCAAATCTGCATAATTGTTAAAGATCTGAATTGAAACTATCTTGATTATAAAAAATTGGTGCAAATAATATTTTCTAAATTTGAAATTGTAGAAAATGGTAACTAAAATCAGAAGAAATTCCTCATACGAATTCGAATTGCAAACTATAGGTAGAAACTGCTTAATGATATTTTCCAATGTTTACTTGTATAAGTATCCAATATAGCATCTCTACTTAATTGACTCGTTTAAACTATGGATAATAGTTGCTTCAATCAAATCAAGAAATATTATTTATCATTATACAACATACAATTATGAGTAAATAAATTAATACAATGCAATCAAAATGGTACTATAGTTAAAGCATTTAAACTCATCAAGTTCCACTACAAATTGTTTTAGATAGCATAAAAAGTAAATTTTTTGTATTTGAAACTATATAAACAGTAGAATACAATAACGAAATCATAACATGGAAAGCAAATAGAGTGCAATGACATCTTAGTACTATGTAGCATGATTAATTTTCTTTTTTAGTTTCAATGAAGTACAAAATTCTAAGTTAATAAATTTTACAACTATAAAATTCCCAATTAAAATAAACACAAACTGAATTCCAAATCATATTACATGAAAAAATAACTACTTGAACTATAACTATTGGAATGTAGTCAACAGATCCCTGGAGTCAAGAACAATAGGAGAAAGTTCGTGAGAAATAAGGTTATTTGACTTAAATAAAGAGATAATACCTTGGCCGAGAAGGAGAAGATGATAAAATTACTTTTCTGATTATTTTAGAAAGTGACAACATTATCTCAAATTATACTTTGACCAGAGACAGAATCTCTGGGATCTATTAAAGAAAACAATACAATTAGTCAGTTTTTGGAATTGGAAGTATCAAAAAGCAAATTATATGGAGTTTTTGAATAAACCAATCATCAGAAAAAAAAAACTACAATCGAAGAAGACAAACTTAAAGAACTCACCTCAATTTAAAGGAAAAGCTACGCATTCCACCAAATATTTGATAATCATAATAAAACCAAAGGGGTGAAACCGAAAAAGAATAAAGGGTATCGACTAAACATGGGGGCATAAATATGATAATGATTGTTCAGATAATAATTAAGTTAATTAATTGTAATTAAAATCCAATTATGTAAATATCCAATTAATTCCTTAACGGATGAGAAAGGTTTCAAGAAATTGGAAGGCTTGGATGTCAGTATAATAAATGATTAAAAGAGCTTTTATGTAATTCTATCAAAACACAAGTTTAATTCACTTGTACTTGATACTCAACTTGGCACCAAAAATTGTAACATATCAAATCTGCCCCTAATCTTAAATACCTGAAAGGTTATATAAGTAATTATAGTGAAATTAAAGTTATAATAACTTGTACTCAATGTTTCAATTACACTTCAAATACTCTCATATTCTCAAAATAGCCCCACTCTTGCGGTTGAAATCTAAAAATCGTTTTTGTCCTAAACTCGTTCTTATATGATACAAAATGAATTATTTTTCAAAAATTGAAAAATCCAAACAAAGCCCTTAGTATCAAGCATTAACTATTACACCAAAAGCAATTATTGTTAGTGAAAATCCAACTTTATTTTCTTCCACTCCGTGGCAATGCAAAGCATTTTACTACGCCTAGGCAACATGAGGTGATTGCATTCCAATTACTTTCTCCCGAGTAGTGAAAGGATAGCACTGACCATAAAGGCTAACAATCAACCCTCAGTATCCACCTGGCAGATTTTGAAATTGCAACTTCACTTTGATGCTGACTGTCGTGATCAAGTATTTATCACCATGTAACCAACTACTCTAGCCAACTACTCTAGCCACCGGGCAGAGTTTTAAAGTTATTCTTGAATATAGGTCAAGGATCGCTTGACCTGCATTTTTATTCAAAATTTTCTGAAAATTTCATCATCAGGTGTAAAGACGGTGACGATTCAATTTCCTTTAAATTCTCTATTGATCATCTTGAATCCACTCGTTCAATGACGATTCAGATATAGAATAAATTTATCGTATCCAAAAAAAAAAATTTTATCATTAAATGAAAAAGAATTGCTGCTATTAATAAAAGCGTAACTGTATTCTTTTAATACACCTTGGCAGCACAAAATGCTGCTATCACCGTTGGATCAACACGAGGTGATTGCAACTCAATGGTGCCGTGAGTCGGACGATTAGTCCACAGCCAGTTTTGTTATTCCGAATTAATGGATGCTGCTGATCATGTCCCCAGCAACTGCCACAGATCGAGTAGAAAAGTATATATTGATCACACACAGCTTTTTTGCTTATGACAAGTTACCTAATCTCCCTTATCATAAAGCAAGCATGCTTTGCTATCACGCATGCATGCTTAGCAGGTAGCAGTGAGCGTCAATTTATCCTAACTGTTCAAGATATTACAAGGATTTGTATCTAGAGATTAGGTGTAATCCAACTTACACTGGTTAATTGCTCCTGAGATATAGCAGAACTCAGCTACATATGATTTTACATTTGAAATCCAAATTTTACATATATATCGTGTATCCAATTGTAACAGTACATACATCGTCAATATATAAAAGATTAACTCTTATTTGATATGTTGAAGAAAATTTTCTTAAATAACCCATTGAGTTAGGTCATGTGTTTGGTGAATTATTTTGTGATATATAATTTCTTGAACTTCAACAAACATACCAAAATCTACTGATGAAACTGACCGATCCAACGTTGTTACACTTCTTAAAAAATTATTAAGTGGTGTAAATCTCTTACATTTGTACTAGGTATAAGTAGCCAGATACCTTTACTTTTATTGACTTTGCATTAGATGTATTTTTTAAATGCTGTAGATTCTGAAAATCCAGCTTTTGTTATTCACGTTTAGAAATATTTCAGACTTTAATTAAATTTAATATATGTGACAAAATCTAATTAATTCCTTGTTTTGTGTAAAATATAGCCGTTACTATACTCAATTATTATACAACTTAATGCTGGCGCGATGGATATTCCAAAACCACCAGCCTTTGAATTGGTGGACACCACCAATGCATTAAGGCATGGTGGGATGGGAGGCAAGACCTTGTCTCCCACCAATTTGTCACAACTAAATGTGGTCTTACTTAAAAAATCTAGATGAGTGCGTAGTGCACCTGTCTAGTTCGATAGTGGTTCAGTCCCCTCCGAATCAACTCAGGATCTCTTCAGGTCGTCCCCTCCCCATAGTATAGGAAGCTATTGTATCGATAAAAAAAAAAGGGAAAAAAATGATGGATATTCCAAGTTTAACAGCTGTCACAAATCATAATCAGTGAGAGATTAAATGCCCTTACACATATAGGCTTCTATAAAGATACACCATCTACACAAATTTGACCACCCCACCGAATTCTTATATTGAATTGCTTTAATTTGATTTTTTTGGTGGTTGAAGCAATTGACATGTTCTTAAATGATACGAATGATTAAGCATGGTCAAAACGGAATTCTTTATTGCATTACACAAAGGATCACAACGAAAATTTACCTTCCATCTAATTAAATAGTTGACCGAATTATGTTAATATTGAAGGAATTGAATCTTTTTCTTTTTTTTTTTTTTTTTGAAAATTCTTTGTTATGAAAGATCAGATGAATTGAATCTTTGAAGGGCTTAACGAGTTAAAATTTTTAAACTCATTCTAGGTAAGTGCCATGATATCCTTCATTGTCAAGTTTAAAAATGTTTTGAAATAATTAACTATTATCTTGTTAAATAAATTGTTGTTAACGTGCTTCAGTCCCTTCGAAGACATCCGATAAAATTGAAACGATACAAAGAAGATCAGCATGGCCCCTGCCTGCACAAGGATGATACATGTTGTTAACGTGCTTCAAATACATATTTACCATTGAGATAATTCAAAAAAGGGACGCAAAATCTTATTTCTTGTGTACATATTTACACTAAGAATATCTATCGATCTATACAATATATAGGACAAGAGCACCACTATGTGGCAAGTGGAGTTAATACATAAATGATACTCCCTCCGTCCCGTCTTGTTAGTCTTGATTTTTTTTTCACACAGATTAAGAAAGTGTAATTAATTTGGTTGGAAACATAAATTTAGATTAATAATTTCCTAAAATACCCTTATGCTAATCACGAAGAGTGCCAATTAATATCAGCTACAACTAATGGGTTTGTATTGGAAAAGCTCAATGTATTCAATATAGTGGGTTAGTATTTAATAATAATGTATTAATAACAAGATATTTAATAAGGGTATTTTAGACAATTTGAAAGATTACTACATTTCTTAATGGGAAAGTGGATTATAATTTGGGACAGACGAAAAAGGAAAATAAGACTATCAAAGTGGGACGGAGGGAGTAATACTCTATTATGGATAATAATAACACGTGGTACTTTTTAAGTAACTATCGGTTAGTATTGCTCTTTGTTTTGGATTGCTGTATACCTACAACTAATTAGTGTACCAATAATAATTAATAACTAATTTTTATTATTTTTTACACCTTTGCTGGCAAAGTTTCTATTTTTTTTTTCACTTTTCATCCCTTCTCACACCCCCTTCCACCCCCAATGGTTGGGTATAGGATTTGAATCTTAAATACAACAGCAAGAAAAGTCTAAGAACCCCCTCCTAGTCACTACTTGAATGATGAGATTTTAACTCCTCTATCGTTAAATAGGGAAAAAAAAGGAAAAGAAAAAGAAAACAAAAGACAATAAAAGAATCCTCTTCTCATACCTTTGTAGCAATAACTTTTTCAGATTTTCAATAACATTTACAACTTTAAAGAAGTGTTGACCAATCCAACAGATGATTAGACTTTATCTACATTCATTCATATATTTATTGCAGGCATTTATTGACCTATAAGACTGGTTTGTGGAAAATCACAAAAGGATCTCTTGATAAATAAATAATAGGTGCCTGTTTTAAAGGAGATGCGGGTGGTTGAGGCTACCCACTTGCTACAACGGGGTCAACTAGGCAGAGTTAAGGGCAGAATCGTCCTGGAATAGTTACATTAATTTGAAAAAAAAAAATGTAATGTGCTTTGTTCAATTTTTGTAAATTACTTTGAAATAAGCCTGTCAATTAGACCATTTGAGCCAGACTTTCATAAGTTCGAGGTCAACGACTCAACGTATTTAATTTGTAATACTTTCGGGTTTTGAGTCATAAGTTTTAGGTTGATAAATGTTAACCTCTTACTAAACTCACAAAATATTCGGATATATTTTGTGCCTTATTCGAGTTTAACTCAAACTCACTTATTACTGTTCAATTTTCTTAATATAATTACTATAACTATTAAGTTGTAAAACTAATTTCACATTTACAGGACTATAACATTAAAACTATACATGAACAAGTAAAAATTCTTAAAAAGTACATAAATTATATCTAATTCGTTCAAAGTACATGAAAAATAATAATAAAACATTCGATCATAAACCAATACATCTTCAAAGGTTAGAACTTCTTCATAGTTTTGTGACTTGAATCAATTTTAACTTGAATCGATGTCAAGAAAATTGGGGCTTGGACTTTCGACCTTTTGTTTCATTTTGTACTTCTAACTGAAATATGTTGAAACTTCAGTATTCATATTTATTTTTGTGTTTTGTAATTAGTATTTAGTAATAATATATTTAGATATATAATTATATATAATATCAAAATATTATTTATATATATCATATTATTATATATGTAGGTAATTAAAGGGTCGGGCTTTTATTGGGTTTCAGACAATAAGGCCTGAGTTCAGTTCATATTTAATTCTACCCTAATTTTTAGGCCCAACTTCAACCCAGCTCATTGAAAGGTTAGGCTTATCAGGCTTTTTTTCGGACCGAATGAGTCAAACTCAGGTTGATCTGATCCCATTGACAGTACTACTTTAAAAACAATAACAATATACACCATGTCATTTAAACATGATATTAAAAACTTTTTTTTTATCTCACACATGGCATTAAAGAGAATGCACGTTGTGTCATTTAAACCTTACAATTTTTTACTTTTTATTTTTATTTTTAATTTTTGTCTAATCATAGTTATCAAACTTCGAGAATGTTTAGTACTATAGTTGTCCCTGCCTCTAATTCAATAAAGAGAATTTAACCTTGTCTATGTAAGTTATTTAAATTCTAGAATGTGCATCTCCTTTATGTACTAATTGTTCTTGTACAACTTGAGTTCAAGATCAGTTTGTACGGTAGAGGTTTTTTCTGGAAATTTGTTTATGAAAAAAGTTTAAAGAAAGTTTAAAGAAGTATTTCACTAATCTATTTATCTCACATACATATTTTTAAAGGAGAACTCTAACAATATCTACATAATGCTTAATTATGTATAAAAAGTGTAAATAAATGAAAGAAAGTGAAGAAATTTGGTTACTATTTTGGTTTTATTTGATTAGTGGGGATGTTATCAAATTTTCTTGCATTTCCCAAAACACTTTTGTCTGCCCAAAAAAAAAATGGAAGTATTTGAAGGCAAATTGTTGGGAAAATGCTGGTTTTCATTCCCAAACTTTGGGGTAAGGACACATTTCGTCCCTCAACTTTTGGGCACGACACATTTGAAGTCTGAATTAATAATTTTTTACCAATGTCATCCTCCAACGGCAATTTAACTAATTTTTAACGGAACTCCGTTAAGTAAACTTAAATCATATTTTTAACAAAACTTGCCAGTTTCCTGCATGCAATCAGTCAACTTTTGGCAATTTTGACTAAACATCCATCAATAAACACTTGCGTCCCGTACGTAAGGGGGGAAAAAGCTAAAAATAAGGATAAAATGAAAAATAGGCAAGAAAAGAAATAATCAGCATGAAAAATGAAAAGGGATAATTTCACAACATCCCTTGAGATTTTTAATAGTTACAAAAAGCTCCCCTCAAAATTTAAAAATTACATATACTTTGCATACTTATACTATTTATATAAGAGCAAATTATTTGAGCAGCCATTGAACTATTTGAATAGTAAAAATTTGGCCCTTCAATTATTCATAACATATTTTTACCCATTGAACTATTAAAAGTATAAACTTTGAGTTATTCATAACATATTTTTACGCATTGAACTAGTATGTTTTGTATTTAACATAAATTAAATATGTGAAAGTTAAAAAAAATAATAATAAATTGCCCATAACATACCAGCTCTTTATGGGAAACTAGCAGGTTTTGTAGTATGTTTTGTACCAGCTCTTTATGGGAAACATACCAGTTCTTTATAGGAAAAATTAGTTAAATAGCGCCCAAAGGAAAATTAGTATGTTTTGTATTTAACATAAATTAAATATGTGAAAGTTAAAAAAAATAATAAATTGCCCATAACATACTAGCTATTTATGGAAAACTGGCAGGTTTTGTAGTATATTTTGTACCAGCTCCTTATGGGAAACATATCAGCTCTTTATAGGAAAAATTGGTTAAATGGCGCCCAAAGGAAAACTAGTATGTTTTGTATTTAATATAAATTAAATATGTGAAAGTAAAAAAAAAAAAAAATTGCCATAACATACCAGCTCTTTATGGAAAACTGGTAGGTTTTGTAGTCTGTTTTGTACCAACTCTTTATGAGAAACATACCAACTCTTTATAGGAAAAATTGGTTAAATAGCGCTCAAAGGAAAACTAGTATGTTTTGTATTTAATATAAATTAAATATGTGAAAGTTAAAAAATATAATAAATTGCCCATAACTTACCAGCTCTTTATGGAAAACTGACAGGTTTTGTTAAAAATATGATTTAAGTTTACTTAACGGTCATGTGATTTTCACGTGACCAGTTTCATTAAAAATTGGCTAAATTACTGTTTGAGGATGACATTGATAAAAAATTATTAATTCAGACATCAAATGTGTCGTGCCCAAAAGTTGAGGGACGAAATGTGTCCTTACCCCAAAGTTTGGGGATGAAAACCGGCATTTTCCCCAAATTGTTAGTTAGGAAGAAGAATTATAATAATGACTAATAACTATCATCAACTTCGCACTTGCTCTCACCCTTTCTTATGTTAACCAATCTTGCACAGAAAGTGATTTGTTACATTATCTTCTTGCATTTCACTTTAGCATTTAACTTTCTCCATATCTAGACAAAGCCTTGTGGAATTGCACATTTAATTTCAATTAAGTTATTTTGCATTTGGTTTTTACCGAAAAACAACAAAAAAAGAAAGGATCCTTGTAAGAAAAGTACATGGCAAGCAAATGTTTGAACACAACATCGAAGGATTTGCAAATAATTCTTTAAAAAATTCTTTTTCTCATATTCAATTTAGGTTTAGCAATTCATAAGGTCAAGAATCACTTTGAATTCCAAAAATAGGAACTCGATATTGACTTTACACATCAGTTAATTTCCAATTGATTATATTTTCATATTATTTGGATTGTGATTTTTTTGAGAAACATTTTAACGTTTTCCGTGAATATTGTTTCTACATAGTTTTCAATTATTTTTTTTATCTTACATAAATCACATTTTAAAACAATGCTACAATAATTTTCTCTAAACCTATCCAAAAAAATGCAATCCAAATGTTCTCTTTCAAAGAAAAATAAAAAAGAAACAATTTTTTTGAGGGTAAAAAGAAGCAATTTTCAGTTTACATGGGAATCATACCTTAGCATAAGCGTTATCCAAATCCCATTTTAGATTGTCTACTCTTTTCGTTTGTCCTTACCTAAAATAAAGGTCCGTGCATGTTGTACCTGTACGTTAAGGACAAGAATATCCCTTAACCGTGTCCTTGATAACTCTGTACAACCGACATTCGTTCCAGTTTTACACATTATCTGCTTTCGAAGACAACGACTATGCTTTTGACCACAAAAAAAAAAAAAAA